TGCCCGCCGGTTAACACGGGGGGCGGGCAGCTTGGGGACTACCAGTGCGAAATGGCTGGTAGCGCCCGCCAAAATCGAATCCGCCCTGGTTCGTTTTTTTTTTTGTCGCGCAGGTCGATTTTAGGCTCGGCACTGATAGCTGAGAAAGGTACCGGCAGTTTAAAAGGCCCGCCATATTTATGCTTACGTGGCACATACTGTAGTGAATGTGTAGTAAATCCATAAACAAACAAGTTCCAAATAATGAGAACTACCCAATAATAAATAGGAAAACGAACACCATACAAGTGCCTGTCCTCTTTTAACCTTATAATAATAGAGCTGCATGGGCAGTTGCCGCAGTTCACATTGGGTATGATATGGTGATGAAAGCCGATTGCTTGGCTGATTTCAAGCTGCGGGCCTGATGGCAGTGGATGCTGAATGTTGTAACACTCAAAAGGCAGGCCATGTTCATGCTTACATGGCACGGACTGTAACAATTTTATCGAAAGAAATATGCAATGCGGTCGATAGGCGTCAGAGAGCTAAGACCTCAGGGAATCTGCTATAAGCTAGTTTGTGCCTTATCCGATCAGATATGGAACAATGATGAAAACTTGGCCAGTATGCTAAGCCCCCCCCGAGGGCACAGCTGCATGATGAGTAAAAGGGGAAAAGAGGAGGATATCATGCAGACAGTGCCAGAAACAGAATTGCCAGCGCAGCCGACTGGCCTTCACTGTAATCTGTGGAAAGTTGCAACCCAACTTTCTGTGGCACTCCCACGTCCTCACTGCTGATCCGTGCAAATCCACGGCCACAGATCAGGCCATACCCACCGTAAGATAACTTTTGGCATGCTCTGGCCATTGATCTGTGTAATTCATGACACGTCTGGCGAGAAATCAGCACGTATACTCAACCCTGGTGTTATCTTGCATACATCCAACGGAAGTGAATCAAAATCAATGGCACATTCAGTTCTCTCTCTCTCTCTCTCTCTCTCTCTCTCTCTCTCTCTCTCTCTCTCTCTCTCTCTCTCTCTCTCTCTCTCTCTCTCTCTCTCTCTNCTCTCTCTCTCTCTCTCTCTCTCTCTCTCTCTCTCTCTCTCTCTCTCTGTGTGTGTGTGTGTGTGTGTGTGTGTGTGTGTGTGTGTGTGTGCCCATTTCTTTGTGTATGGCCTCTGTGGATCCACCTTGTCGTTTGTCTACGGACGACACTAGATAGGGGTACCCCAAATTTAGCTTCTTTATTCTTTTTCCCCTCAAAGTCTGGGTGTAGCTATCTTTTCCTTCGATGATCTTCAAATCTTCCTTGGGATTCACGCCTCACTTGATATTTGGTTTTTCTTGCATCAAATGCTTGATATGTCTGTTGATCAGAGCTGTCCTCATGAGATGGGGAAATAGAAAGTTGCGTGCAGTTCCAAAAAAGGAAGTTCAAACATCACCAGTGGGGCTGTATTTCTGGAAAATTGACAGTCTGGCGCATACATCCTTACTGAATCAGTTTGTTTACCCTCGAATCCACAAGGGTGAAGCGTCTGAAGCGGCTTGTTACGTTTTCCCTTTCTGAATGAAATTACCTTGCGCCCTCGGGGGCAGTTCAATTGGCTGTGGGAACCCGTGAGGGTGACAGGTGTGGCAGGTCGAGGATCAGGTTACTCTGAAAGCCAGCAGCCAAACAGCAATAAAAACTGAGATGCATGGTGTCAGTGTTCACATCCCATCGAAATCTTAGAAGAAACCATCATCCTGATGCTGCAATCTGTGTTCTTCTCCCTTCTTCTTCTCCCTTCTTCTTCTCCCTTCTTCTTCTTCTTCTTCTTCTTCTTCTTCTTCTTCTTCTTCTTCTTCTTCTTCTTGTTGTTGTTCTTCTTCTTCTTCTTCTTCTTTCGCCTTAGTTGCTTCCTCTTTGTCCTCGTTCCGTCTTCATTGTCTATGTTCCTTCTCCCTTCTCCCTTCCTCCTCCTCCCTTGTTCCCCTTTCTACCTCCTCTCTCCTCCTTCCCCCCCTTCCCCCCCTTCCCTCCTCCACCGTTTGTCCTCCTCTCTACCTTTAAATAATTCCAACTCGACTGTTACACCAGTGGTTATGCCCCCATAGTCCAGGTCCACAGATACCACCAATTACAGGCCTTAAATCCCCTTTTATTTTATTATTTCCACTGGCCGTCATCCTGATCTTGCTCTCCCTTCCGTTACCTCCCATTGTCTGTGTTAGTGAAAGTGTGTGCGCACATATGAGTGTTTGTGTGTGGTAAAAAAGTCACCAACCTGAAACCCCTTTTCACCAGCCGCGGCAAGGAAATTATGGAGAGAAGTGCAATGTTCCCTGAGTCTGTGTGAAGTGTCCTCACATCCATTAGATTGACCTATATGTGCACACAGAAAACAAACCAATGCACTTCCACCTCCCAAAACAACAGGGGCGCTGAGAACACAGGCCTGCAATGCCTGTACTCATGAAGCTTTATGTGTCACCAGAAGCACCAGTGTAAGGCACCTTCACACCTTTTAAAATTTGCTCTGAAAGTCAGAGCCCATGGGAACGTCACCCACAGCCTGCAGTATGTGAGGCAAATGTGTCATGAAACACGGCACCTGTCTGGGACTTGAAACCTGCATGCACAACAGGAGCATTACTGCCTAAGGCACCCCTGAGTCCTGACCCGTGTGATCCGAAAAGCACGTCACAGAGCACGCTCGCGAAGGTTTCGGCTACAGCAGCAACAAACAGCCACATACAAATTTTAAATCCGCCCAAGCAGCACATATTCAAGAGAGAGAGAGAGAGAGAGAGAG